GTGGAGCTACTGAAGTCTCCGAGGAACAAGACACAAAATTCTGATATGACGCCTCCTATTAAACAAACCTTTGTCATTTGTCATGATGTGGCAGGTAATTGAGGGGATCCAGTGAGTGAAATATGTTCATCTGCTTAAAAAAAAAAAAAAAAAAACGCATCTCAGCAGTAGATATTGTAGTTAACTCTTGCATTAAAAAAATAATTCAAAACAACAACAACAACATATTTTCTAGTCAGACTGAAAAGACGACTCAGGATATGATATCATCTGATGGATGATACAAATCTTTTTTTTTTGTAAATATATACTTTCCCACCTCGTACCAAATTTGAATATTATTCTTGACAACTGGATCACCAGCGTGCGTTTACAGGTTTTTCATATTAGCATATCTGCTCAAAGCACGGCTACATCCAAGTAAAGCTTCCAAGCTGCTGGCATGCCTAGAGACTCTTGGCCTTGAGTCTTAACTCTTAATAAATTATAACTGGAGATGTTTTTTCAGAACACTTTGTTTTTGTTACATAACATCTATTTTTACAAAGAAATGCTTCACATTTGAACAGTTTCTTTATAATTATATTCCCAGTAAGAAAGGCTGTGTCTCATAAGGCCTTGACAGACCTTCAGCTGACAGTACGATGGCTTTTTCTGTCTGCTGACCAATCCATCTTTTCATTATCTCTCTGTTTACATGAACGATGAATCATGCAAACTGCTCTTTTTGCTCCTCCCCTAAATACTAAGACCAGGCGCACACCCGCACGCACACACACTGACAGACAAACTTGCTCTCTTCAATCTATTGTCTGTGCATTAGGCATTTAGTGTGTTTAGAAGCACTTGGTTGATCTCTAATAGGTCTGAAGCTGAAGGCTGCAGGGCTTTTATCAGGTCAAGGACACTCAGCTCCTAGACTGCAGGCTTGATACAGCTTCAACATCCCAAACTGTCATTTTGATATAAACACTCGTGCACATGGAGATGCACATGAACACAGCTGGTTGTGTGAGTGTGACCTTCTGACTTGCCCTCAAGCCCAGAGTAAAGGCTGAAGTGATGTGTAAGCAGATCAGAAGTCAACAGAGGAGAGGGGAGGCCATCCGAGCAGGCTGGAGAGTGCTGAAGTGTGATACAAAGATAAACTCTCCAATCCTCCACTCGTCATTTTACCTTCGTCTTTGCCTCCTTCTTCTCCTCACCTACCAACCTTACTTCCACTCCTCTCACATCCATCTATGTTGCTCTCCTTTCTCCCTACTCCTCTGCTCCTTCCCATCTGATGGTTAATTTATGGAGCCTGCCTGAACGTGCACCTTCTCCATTATTAATACAACATTAGGGAGACAGAGGGAGGAGGAGAGCAGAAGGGAGGAGAAGCAGATAAAAAATGTGGGAGATGCAGGGACACAGGACAGACGGTGAAAAGAAAAGCAGTGGAAGAAAGCTGAGGATTTGGGCAGAGGGATAAGTACGGAGATGGACAGGAACAGAGAGAGAAGAAAAACAGAGACAAGGAAGACAGGAAAGGAGCAACTGAGGAGAGAAGCAGACAGATTTTTCCCAGTACATACACAAGGGGGGGGGAAAAAGCTGGAGATAAACGAGAGTGACAGATGAGAAGGGAGAAAATGTGTCAAGAAGAGGAATGCTACATGACACGTGATGCTGTTGGGATGCATGCAATGTATCCTGCCCCGTGAAGAGAGGCAGAATGCACGAAGAGGATGAGGATGAGGGGGGGGGCAGAGACTCAGATGTGTCACAAATGATCATGTGACTATCTTCAACCTGGACAAACACACACGTACAGGCAGACCTGATTTTTTTTGCAAGCTAAATTCAGGAAAGTAAGGTGCTCATCTGCTAAATATATCACATCTAAGAAGCTTTGAACAGAAGGAAGAAAAAAAAAGACTTTAATAGTATCCACAATTTCAGTTTTCTCCTCGCACACAGCAGCAATGACAACATACAGAATGTAAGAATGGATATATTCCATATTCATCTTATCATCAGTATATCTTCAAGAGATGATCACAACCAGCAGTGTGGCAGACATCCAAGCACAGTGCCAAACAAGAAGGAAGAAAACATACATTTCACCATATTGATTTATCTCAGTTTAGTGTTTTTCTGTAGTGTAGGTTCACAACAACAATCTTCTTATGGTGCTTTCTATTGGGGCGACCATGGTTCAGGGTGTTGGGAAGCTCATCTTGTAACAGGAAGGTTGCCGGTTCGATTCTCAGCTCTGTCTGTCTTGGTCATTGTGTCCTTGGGCAAGACACTCCACCTACTGGTAATGGGCCGCTGGCACGATATGGCAGCCTCGCTTCTGTCAGTCTGCCCCAGGGCAGCTGTGGCTACAACTGTAGCTTGCCTCCACCAGTGTGTGAATGAATATTAGTGCATGGGTGAATGAGACATGTTATATAAGAACCAGTACATTCAACAATGGATTCAGGAATACCTTGAGTAAGAATAGGATCCACAAGTTTTTCATTTATTTTGGATTTCCTCTAATCCGTACAGGATAAAAGTATACATATATACCCAGGAAAATATCTCGCTAATTGTCAAATGTCCCCTGAGAAGTTGCACATTGACCAGATGCTTCCGGTAGCCATCAACAAGCCTCTAGTATTTGCTGGATATTTGATACAATTTTTCAGTAGGGTTGAAAACGGGGCTTTGGGAAGGCCATTCCAGCAAGTTAATATTATCCTGCTTTATCCAGTCCAAAACCAGTTTTGGTGTGTGTTTGGAATCACTGTTGAAACACTAAGTTGAATTCAAGTTTCAACTGTCTAGCCATTGATTTGAGGTAAAGGTATTAAAGATGTACAGATGAGGATTACAGAATTTGTAGCCCTCTATGAAAATTTATTGGTAGTTAAATATTTTCCAAGTCCTGTTAAACAGAGCAGGGAATTTTTGACATAGCTTTCCCAAACATTGTAGTTTTATTTCGGATACTTTGATTATTTTTACTCTGCTTACTGAAACAAAATATTACACAAAACCCCCAAACTACCAGCGCAAAAATTATTAGCCCCCTGACGCTAATGGTTAACTTTATATGAGTTTGCTAAATAACAACCTGCAGTCATTTGTTGCAGTAATAAAATGCATCCGAATATTAACAGAGAGAACTCCAATCATTAGGTGATGCATTTTGAACAAGAACTTGGTGATACTGGGTAAGTAAAACTACACTTTAACAGGAAGATAGGTACAGCAGAACCAGCATCAGAGAGGGAAAAGCAGTGTGCCTAAAAAAAAGTTGGATGGTGAAGAAAAGACAAGAATATGAGGACCGAGGACCAAAGAAAAGTGACTTCACAAACAGTGTTGACATATTTTCTTTTATTTATTATTAACTTTGTTTACTGGTATTTGTTGCCATAAAAACAACTGAACACCTGTTCAAGTCACATTTAGTGACACAATGCAGTGAATCAAGCATTTTTGAAATGTAAGAAATTACATTTAAGACTTGAGGACTTATTTATATACCAAACAGAATGAAATTTAATCCCTGCTTCATGATCAAACCTTCTAAAGAATCGAGACATCACTAAAACCCAGTAGGGATTTACAGAGAGCAAAAATTGCTTTAATTTTTTTTCCAGTACTTCCCAGCAGTCTTAGATAAAACAAAGCATTTCAGTTGTGAG